CTTCATCCTACATGATTAGCATAATCATTGCAAATCTAGCCTACACTATCTTAAGTTTTAGTTGGATTTGAAAGATGGAGATATAATTAGATCACTCACCATTTGTTGAACCTCTAGAGACATGATCATTAAGTAACAGCTGTTTTTGGAGAATGAAAGTGAGCATATGATTAATGGCAGTAGTAGTGTGTGGACATTTATAGAGAGATAGAGAGTGGAAGTAAGGAGAAAATGTTGATGTGTGGTTATTACGAACAAGCGAAAACTCTAGAGACTAAACGTACAACTGAAAAACAAAGAGGTGTTACTGTCTTTGATGTTGACTCTTTTTTATATTTCCTCTTTCTTTCCTCATTAACAAGGCATCGTACATATCACCTACAAGTTAACTTGGCCGATTTTTAGCTCATTTGGTTTACAATAACATAAACTGAATAAAAGACGCGCAACTACTTCACTCTTAATCACTTTAGAGTACCTTACACTATTTAAGAGATGGATCTAACATAATATATAAATATGACATGTTTAATAATAAAACTATCTTTCCTAAAAAGCTATTAAATGAAAATTTATAGTGTTGCCAAGTTTATAATACAATTAGGGTGCAATTTAGATGCCTTGACAATTGAATCAACCAAGAACTAAAATACGACGGTCCACGGACCATTCATGTTTTAGCGTTTTGCACAAGTGATAAACAAATATCTTGTAGGATGTCATCGTAATATTCGAAAAACTGAAAGTTGAAGTTGTTCCTAAATTCAAAAAACGGTTAATAATATATCGGTTTGATAGTGAATGAACGTATTATTGTACACAAGAGGCGGTGAGAAGGACCCGACCATTTGTCAAATCTTATTGGTTCATACGCCAAAATAGAAATTCGGCTTTGTGATTATTAATACTGAAAGAACAATTGATATGAATATATCATATGCAAGTTGGCGACAACATTTAACTCTTGTGATAACGATATTCTTGTTGCATTCACGTTTTTGACCCAATAGTATTTTCTTACTGCATATACTGCATGCATGATTTGTCAGTTGTTACTTTGTATGATTGAGAGTTGAATAACGAACAAATCGATACGAATTAAATGAGAACGATTCTAGGTTTAGCTTGGTAAATTTACACCTTAAATTACAATTTTTCGCCAAACCGAACCATACATTGTTAGTAAGCATATGTATATGAAACAAAAACGTAAATTTAAACACTACAAGAAAATATGGTATATTCCGACGGAAAGTAATTTCCTCGGAATATATCAATGTCATTCTGACGAAATTCTCAGAAAAAGTAATTTTTATGTTTCTTCAGAATTTTGTTGGAAATTTCTGACGGCATTTCAAGGATGCAACATTTTATCGGTATAATCCAACGTTATTCTGAAGAAAATATTTTCGTCGGATATACCGAAGACAATCCAAAGATAAATTATAACTGTTATAGAGCTGTTTGGAATTTTAAAAAAATTCGACGAAATTCGACGACAATCATGTTTCCTTCGGAATTTCTTTGGAATATATCGATGAAAATCCGAGGGAAATTTGTAGCCGTGTAGAGCCGTTTGGAAATTTTAAAAAATTTCGACGAAATTTCGACGAATATCATATTTTCACCATAAAGTCATGGATAATTATGGGAAGCAGATCTATGAGTGGAAGCAAAAGTGGCTCAAGAGAAAGAAACCAAAATTGATTAACAACACGGTGTGGCTCGAGTTGCAAGTACATTGGGGAAGGTGAGACACAAAAGACCTCGGTGACCAACTCCGGCAACCGCAAGAGCATACGTGGCGGGAAGGGCGTCTACAAACACAACTTGGGTGCTTGCAGTATGCCCACTCTGGGGGATCGACTAGTAAGTTGATTTTTTTTTTGCTTATTTATTTCATTTTTGCGTTGTTATTTCAATTTTTAATTGTTTTTTATAAACAATTTTTTTTTCAGGCGGAACAAAATGATGGTGATTCGGTTGATGAACTCGTGCTAATGAAGGAGGCGTATACCAACAAGAAGACCGGAGAGATTTCGGATGCCGCTGTGAAGGAGGTGATCGACTTGGTCGAAACCCAAAAGGATGAAGAGATCCAATGCCTATCTCAGCTTCAATCCGACGACGACGCCACTACTGATGCTTCCACCAACATGTCTCGAGCTCGAATCAACAAACTCGTTAAGTCGGTAAGATCTTCATTTTTTCAGGCAGAACAAAATGATGGTGAGTCGGTTGATGAACTCGTGCTAATGAAGGAGACGTATACCAACAAGAAGACCAGAGAGATTTCGGATGGCGTTGTGAAGGAGGTGATCGACCTGATCGAAACCCAGAAGGATGAAGAGATCCAATGCCTATCTCAGCTTCAATCCGACGACGACACCACTACTGATGCTTCCACCAACCTGTCTCGAGCTCGAAGCAACAAACTCGTTGAGTCGGTAAGATCTTCATTTTATTTTATAGTTTAATTTTTACTATTTTTTCATTTCATTATCTTTGTCACTATTTCACTTTTTATGTTTTCTCTTTTTTTTCAGGCGGTTCCAAAGGAAGAAAGGTCGCTTGTTCGGGCTGGCTCGACGCTCCAAGTCAATTTCTTCTACTTCGGAACCGGCTTTTGTTGATCAGGCACTTATGGAGGAGCTATAGAACAAGATGACCACATAGTAGCTTTGGAGACCCAGAACACCACCATTCTTACCCAGAACACCACCATTCTTGCTAGGATGGCCGATCAGCAAGCTGAAGTGGAGGAAACGAAGAAGAAGAACCAGGAGATGCTTGACATGATGCGACGGATGTTTCCGCACGAGTTCTAGTTTGTCTGTTTTTTTAAACGTTTAATGTTTAATTTGTAAAACTTTAAATATTATAATATGTTTTCTATTTCAGATTTAATTTTATATTTTTAAATAATTCTTATATAAATATTATTTTTAAAAAATAAAATACTTATTATATAAATATTTTTTTTAAAATATGAAAAAATCAGATTATTCCTAGGAAAAAAACCGTCACAATATTCCGAGGAAGCGTAACCGTCAAAATATTCCGACAAAAAAATTCCACAGAAATTTCCGAGGATGGCGTTCCCTCGGAATATTTCGACGACTACGATTATTCAGAATATTCCAACGGTGTTTTTTCCTTGGAATATCCTGAGGACGTCCTCCCTCAGTAATTCCCTCGGAAACTTCTGATTAACGAGTTCTGTCAAACTCCGATGAAGTATCCATAGGAATAATCCGATAGAAAGCTTTTGTCGGAATTTTCTCGGACTGTGTGTCCATTAGAATTCGTCGATATTTTTTCGAAAGTTCTGACGAAATTCCGAAAAAATATTTTTTTCCCACGAGATATTTTCGACGACTGTTTTTATCAGAATTTCGTCAGAATAAACGTTTTCTGACGAAATTCCGAAAAAATGGTCCTCATAATTTGCATGTTTTTTCGTAGTGAAATGACCGCCAAAATCCTTTCTCAAAAAATAAAAAAGACCACCAAAACTACACAAACTGATTTATATGCGAATAAAAAGTATTCAGATAATATCAAATCGATGTGGCATCATCTCTACAGCGTTAATTTTTTTTTTTTTTTTTTGACAACGAAAGGCTGATCTATTACTCAAACTTGAGATGGTCTGAGAATCCAGACCGGAATAGAACAACCAACATACATCAGATCCCGATAAAATGATCGAGCAGTCTACAACATAATAGGAACATTAGCCGGTCTACAAACCCAAACCAAACCAAACCGGTTTTTCCATGCATTAAGTAGTGTATATGTGTATGTGCATAAGACAAAGTTGTTTTCTTTGGTAAATCCCCATGAGTTGGGTATATATCCTTTTTGGGCCACCACCACCACTGCTGCAACAACCACGCTCCATTCATAAAAACGCTTTCTGTGGATGATAAATTTTGACAGGAGCAAAAATTTATGAATCGGTACGATAATATAATAAGTATAACCATCTTCCACAATCATCCAATTTGGGTGGTTGCCTAGTTCTTCCCGCAATTTACGAAAGGTCCCACCCTTTCTTCTTACCCATTCAACACTATAATCTCTAGATGTTGCTACAACACTCCAAACCAAAACTGTTGTTCCGGCTTTGGCTGAGGAAAACTTAGCTCGTTTGTATTGGCGCTTGAGAATTTTAAACGAATTGACGAGATATAAATTATAATAGTTTAGGGTTCATTGAAAAAAAAATCATGATTTTTATTGAAATCTACGAAATATAAAATACTTGAAAGGCCACATATTTTATGAATGTCTATAAGGAGGTTAGCTCTCACATTTCAACTTTTCACCAACTCCATTTTCTTTCAATGGGTGAAAGAGTAACACATGTACATCTATCAACTGGACCATCTGTATTTCGGTGAACAATTCAAAATAGTAAAGGCGAATCCGGTTGAAAATACTTTTTGGGTCAAACAAAAAAAAATACTATCAGATATGTACATAAATTATATGATTCATCTGAATAAAGATGAATCATAATATATTTTTTGAGTTTTCTTATGCACATAAATTTTGGGAAAGTTTTGTATAATATTTTACTCTTACATGCAATAGGAGTTCAATTACGTAGTGGAATGCTAAAAAAAGAGCATATATTAAGTATCACACATAATTTCCCAAACAATTTGGGTTTTCATATATCCATATTAAGAAACTCAACCTCGCCACGATAGCCGTCCAAACATGTGCAAAATAGTCCACTACAGAGTCTAGAATGATAGTTACATTATACACTATGAATAATAAAAAGTTAACACGATATACTAAGTTATACGTACGTAGTTTTGGTTCTACCTGTCGAATATACTCAGTTTTAAACCTTACTGGGAGTGTCAAGTATTAAACTAAATTAAGTATAACGAAAGAAAGAATCCGTCTGCTTACAACCAAAAGTCTGTAAACTTTTTTTGTTGATAAATTAATATAATTTTTTTTTTAAATGTTAAATGTCTCAGATCAGATGATAACCAAAAAAAGAAAGTGAAGTAAATATTCAGAATGAACATATTTATACGTACAAGGGTATATTTATAGATGAATCAAATACATTCACAATGGTTCCATCAATGTGTGCATATTTGTACATTATTATATATATATATCATCGATCATGTGTGTCGCTTGATGATTCATCAAAATTTTATGTTTTCCTTCAAGTAACATACGATCGATTGCTGCAAAGAGGCAAAATTTAATCATATTAGTACTCAAATCACGTTAAACCTTATAATTAACCAAAATACTTACCGTTGGACCTTGCTTAAATTTTGCTATTTGTAAAAATTACAAGATTAATTGAACATAAATTATGAGAGAGATAGAGCTTGAAAACTTACAAGAAGGCATAGAATGACACATGCGGCTGCACCTGGGAACAATGTGTACCAGAAATTCAAGTGATGGAACTTTGCTCCATCTATGAACATTAGTGGTAGGCTCGCCGCTGTAATTTTTATTTATTTGTTATTTATTAATCAGATGAACTAACTAACGAAGATAATCGGTACTTTTTTCTCCCAATATAGTTAAATAAGAAAAAAAATAGAAAGAGATTATCGTATCTGATTTCGATTATAAAATAGAGAGAGAGACATAGCAATGTTTTTGCACCAGTTTATATGGTTATCCCGTGTCACCGAGGCAGATGATATTAATTTTGTAAGGTTTGGTTTCTTTATGGGCTTTAGTTTGATTTGGATCGTTTTGAAATATGGGCTAAAAATTGGATGGTTAATTTCTAACCTGCTATCATTAATGATTATTCCATTAAATTACATCATTCAATATTGGTTTCTGTTTGATTACTTTTTAAAAAATTATGTCACTCTATGAAACTGGAAAAAAGTTTGAAATAATTTTTTTTACAGAAGTCAAAATTTGCTTTTAGAAAACTATAGAAATAAACAGAGTATAATTTACCAGGAGGGTGATTGGCACGAAAAATGACCATAAAAGCGAGAGAAGCAGCGAGGGCAACGCTCCGGGCGAGCCAACCTGGCCCGAAGACGGAGAACGCTACCACTCCAATCGCAGCACAACCTATTTGAGCTAAAAACATATTGTATTTCTGAAAATATAAGAAAGAAAAAAAAAACACTCTTCCATTATATTGTTTAAATAAACCAACATAACGACAATATTATGAACTAGCACTTAAAGTTCCTTTTTGAAATGATGTGATCGCAACCCCCTTCCTATATTAGCATGATGTGATGGCACAAATAGGTTGCGTGACTGATTACTCAAAATATATGAAAGTAATTAGGTGGAACATGTTTTTTATTTAAACAATAAAAAATGGACCTCTTTATTCCATAGAAAAGTGAAAGCACAATTTGGAAGAGTTTCTTAAATTAGTTTGTGGACACACAACTTAAACGTAAACATATTTAACCTAAAAATTAACTAACGTTTAATTAATTTGCGTTTTGCATTTCATAGGAAAAGATAAAGAAGCGTTTTGGTTCAAACACATGTATAATTAATTCGAAACAATATGTGTGTAAAAGGGGTTAAGGATTACCCGAGCAGCAGGAGCAGATGGAGTGGTGAAAAGAATGGCGCAGACGGCACCAAGTGGTGCAACGGACATTGAAATTCCCTTTGGGGATAAAATTTGATCTATTCTTCCCATTATTGCCATCGCCGCAAACGCTCCTATATATTCACAAAACATGATTAGTTTAGTTAGAGACCCATATCTTTCAAGAAAAAAAAACAAATTGTCTTATATATTTTTGCAAAACGAATCTAATAGTGACATTTGTTTACAGTGACAATTATCATTGATTTCGGTTGAAATTCAGATTAAAATTCAAGCTGACACGCATATATAATTTCATATTTGTTGGAAGAAGTCAACTATAACCTTTGAATAATAGTAAGAGCTATCTGTCAGCATAGGTTTTGACTACAAAAAAAAAACACACAAACTAGGATCCTCAACCTCAAGACATAAACATAAGTTTGACTGTCTATTATATATATTTAACGATTCAAGTATTTACTTTAATTTACAGATCACAGAATATCGTTAGGTAACATCTATCTCAGACCACTACTTCGACAGTGAAATGTTTTTTTTTTCCAACTAGTTAAATTTATCTCGTTCTTAAGCTAATTTCTTCACATTTATCCTGAAAACATACCCTAAATACCTATTAATATATTAGGGTATATTCGATAAATTGGTGAAACTCGGATGCATGTTATATGACCATTTGGTCATGGGAAAAGACACAATATCTCTATCTCTCAGAATTTTTTTTTATCTCTCCTCATCTTTTGGGTCAGACAGAAATTAATATTGTCCATTAATTTTTAATTTTTATATTATTTTTGTGTGTACCTCTTTTCTCTTCCTTAATATTTTTTTTGTTTTCAACTTTTATACCCTAATCGCCAGTTGTAGTTCTTCTAAATTAGAAACAAAAGGGCATCAAAACTTAGAAACCCCCAAAGATCAAAAAACGTATTAGTAAACCATATGATCTCAAAAGAATAAGACAAATACAAATGATGTTCTTAATCACTGATTATTACTAGCAAACATGGTTCCTTAAATAATCTACTTACCAGCTGCAGGCCAAATGACATCACTCAGCAATAGAGTCGTAGCCGCCGCCTTCCTATCTGGCATCCAAGACTCCCATGACGACGGTGCAGTCATGTTTCCGGCCGAAGCCACCACCGTGCTAACTCGCCGACGGTGGCTTAAAAACGCTGGATTACTCATTTGCCTCAATGATTTAAATTCAAAGCATCTGTTATAAGTAGACAACCCAAGAAAATGCTTGTTGGGAACGGAGGTGAGCATTGTCTGAGACTTCAAGGTAAGGTTCCGGCGAAGAAGATGTAAGCCAACAGGTGATAGTGGCTTCACCGGAACCGTAGACATGGTAATATCTGAGGTGGAGAAATAAAGATAAGACGGCTCAAAATCTAGAAAAAATATCACAAAAAAGTAAATATACTCTTCTTCTCTGTCCCCTCACCAATAGGAGACAGACAATCTTTAACATCTCTATTTATATATGCACGCAGCACGTATGTGCATATATACATACATATGTAGATTATAGCATATACTTAGAATAGTTTTTTTTTACATACTAGCCTTTTAATTATTTATGAATATAATGGTATGAATGAGTTCACAGTCATGATCGTATAATTTTTTTATAAGTCTTAGAGTACAATTTGTAATTAGTTCATTAAAAATAGTTGTCACTTGATATATTTTTCTGTAATAGAGGATCTCTCAAAGTAAAGTCCAAACTTGACTTATGAGATCTTCAATGGCTATGTGAAAACCGGAGTTGTTAGGTCAAAACGTATCTAGTGGCAGTTGAATTTTCATTAGACTACCATACTTTGATAATCTATACTATATTAAAAGGGACTAATACTCCCCTCTCCTTAAGCCACGTCAGCTTTTTTAATCCTCCAATAAGATATTTGTTTTCGGCCAACTCAGCATTTGACACGGAAGACACCTGATTTTGAATTTTGTTCGGGCTTTTCCTCTGATCCGTCACTTTAGTTTAGTCAGTCCAACGAAACCCAACGTATTGAAACCTAATATGATCAACGAGTTGTCTGTCCATCCCCTTTCGTCTTCCTCTTCACGGAGCGTTGATGATCGATGGCGTTCTACAGATCTCTGAAAAACCTAGCTTCAATCAATCACCACAGCTTTCCACGGCACCGTTTCTCCGATCGCTCCGTCTTTTTCGCCTCTGTTCCCGCACCGACTGTCTCCGCTCTCGACTGCAAATAGCCGTTTCTCTTATAGTAATCATCATCCACCCCCACTCATTCAATAACGTTAGTCAATCCTATATTTAATTACATGCATCCTTCCCCCTCCTTGTGTTTCTTCTGAAATATAGATTCTTTTTGTAGCAGGTTACTTCAAACCATTCGGCAACATCGATGGATAGCCATGATATCCTGTCAAGCTTCCGTTAAGTCTCCAGTTGCCCTCATCGATGAACATGTATGTGTCCTCTCTCTTTACTTTCATGGTTCCTTCCATCTGACTCCGCTGTAAAACATGCCCATATGTAAATGGAAATTATCGTCACATATATTGTTTTCTCGACTCAATATATTGTAGATTGGAATTGTTTGTGTGTTTTTTTTTGGATTGTGAAAAAAGGAGAAAGTGATTATAAGCGTTTCAGTTAAGGAGAATGAGAGCAAAGATCTAATTGATGTTGTCTCTGACGATTTCATGGTAAATAATCTCTGATTCAAAAGTACTAAGATTACCTTTTGTGTGTGTTATACAATAAGTATCCATAAAAATATCTGATTCACTTCGATTCATATCCCTTCTTCCTTCATTTATAGTCACTTACTTTGTTTTTTTCTATTCTGACAGTTTCAGGGTGTTTCTAATCTCTGATTCTCTAACATTCTTTATCAGCGTCTAACAGAACTATCATATACAGATGGAGTGGTCAAGACCAGCACAGCAAGGTGAGAAACCAACTCCCCGATATGGACATACTGGGGTGACAATTGGGGAGAACTGGTTTATCGTTGTTGGCGGTGATAACAAAAGTGGTAAGTTTATGCATTTTTCTTTGGAGTTTCTCGCTTTTCAACCCTATCTTTTCTGTATATCACCTTCCTAATTTCTTATGCTTCGGCTTCGGCTGTTCTTGACTGATTGTGCTGCAACCTGATAAATCACTGCAGGAGCATCTGAAAGTGTTGTACTAAACATGTCAACTCTTACTTGGTCGGTGATTGCTTCAGTTCAAGGATGTGTACCTCTAGCTAGCGAGGTAGTTTAATCAATAGGCTTTATTGATATTAATCTCCAAATTCCAAATGCAAATATAGATTACAAAAGTAATCTTTCATACTCCTAAGAACAGGAAATTAGATAGAATGTAACTATATGAGGAAACATGGTTCCTGATTACATAGTACAGAGTTTTACGAGTTCCTGACTAGACTCAGGATAGTTATCTTTTAACCTATTGTTTGGGTCATATTGCAGTAACTCTCATGTGCATGACCAGTGTGCAAGGTTATCACTGAAGATGGATGCGCTAGAGAAGTTTCTTTGCCAAGCTCATGGACATGCAGATGGTATTATTTACAGTTTTCTCTTGACTCCCATTATTTATTAACATACGAACCATTGTACCATGATAAAGTGACAGGTGACAGGAGAGCTTACATAAGCTTACGTACAGCTTACATGTATATGTACTTCGCCACATATATTTAAGTCCATATAGATTATATATATTTATTCACACACACAAGGAAAAGCTTATGGACCATTACAAAGCAACCATGAAGCCATGCTGCAGTAATGCTAGGGTCAGGAAAGAAAATGTTGGCAAGGTGATTAGATATGATAACTCCAGCGCAGTGGCATGACTGGCCGTAACCGGTGTTGTGTAAATCAGAGGACAAAAAAGAAAGTTAAAACAAAGCTGTGTTAAAAATTGTAAAATCAAAGTAAAAGCAGTAACTCGATATGTTATCTTTAGTGATGAAGAGAGTTGTAGAAAGTAAGGAAAAAACATCAAGAGAGACCAAAGATAAGATAATTTTCCATGCTTAGATGATATAACACCAACTTAAATGATTCCAACAAAAACAATAAAAAGCCCAATATTGAAAAAATATATTTTCGTATACGAATACAAGAGAACAAAAATGTATGAAAGGATCACTGAGCATTGAGATAAGTTAGACGACAAGTCTAAATCATTCTCCAAAGATGGTCAGAGAAAACCACTCCACAAATCAACTTCACATTATGATTTTTTTTTTATTGGAGAATAGTAAGTACTGGGCTGAACAACGAGCAAAAACAAAAATATTTTTAAATACGAATACATCAGACGTATCCCAGAAATGTAAAAAAAAAAAACAAGCAATTTAGACATTAGATTGCATAATGTCATATTAAATGGGTAGAGGAGAATACTTGGACGAGAGTTTAAATTCTCATATACGTATTGTCTTTTTTTTTTAACACTCATATACGTAGTCGTTAAGAGAAATAATCTGACTTGATGGGAACTTTCTTTGAAATACTAATCAGTTAAAACAAAATTAACTGTAACTATTTGACCCTCTATAATCTTTATACGTCTGTCTGTGTTTTCACACTCATGGCAATCATTTTTTGTCAAAAAGAAAAGAACCAAATTAGTTAGTATATATTTTTAAGATGTGTCAAATTTTATTTTATTTTGTAAACTGTGTCAAATTTTATTATTTTGATAATAATGGAGAACTGCCTGAGATGAATGCAATAAAAGTACATACATGAATGCCATATATAACCTTTTGCACAAACTAACAAAATTAACAAACCAGACAGTATTTTTAATTCCAACTTAGATTTTATTCAACTATTTTTAAATATTATACTTCAAAATCTTAACTTAGCTAAAAAACAAGTCCAATCTGATTTTTGGATATTCACGAACATTTGTTTATTACAATTTCAACCAGTTATTTAAATACAAAAGTTGGTAACAAAATATAGACTATTATGCAAGTTGAGACAAAAAGCTTAACTCGTGAAAATTTATATATTAGATTATCATTTCCTTTTAAACAAAAAAAATTATGTGACTCAAGTTAAAATGACTATCTTTTTTTTAAAATGTATAATTATGGTAGTCAGACAAGTTTATATGTCTTTGTTATAAAGTTATATTTTGATCTATTACATGCATACAATTTGGTTCATATTGCATAGTCTTTAGAAACTTGAAAAACAAAAAAACTTAAGATGGAAGCTTTTTTAAAAAAATTAACAAAAAAAATACAACTTCAGTTAAATATGTATATAGCTTTTAACATAAGTTCATAATAAAAATATATATATTAAAATAATTGTGTTGTCTGTTATTAAAAGTCATGCTCTGTGATAAGTAGTGTTTTAAAAACCGGAACCGGTTGGTTGGGTCATGATTCTCTCTCTCTTTCTTCTAAACAATTTTGAGTTGTGCTAAAAACCAACAAATTATGTTCAATAACCGGTTACTCGCTAAAACCAATATTCCAGTTTTTTTTTTGAACACACCAATATTCCAGTTAAAAATGCAAATTTTTAATATCTATTTAAATAAATTATTTTTCATTATATATTTTTATTATTTTTGAAGTTTTCATTTTATTACCATATCATTTTAGCTTCAAACAATGATAAATTTTTATAAAAATAATTTTATAGTTATACTATATATATATAGATACTTAGTTTAAAATTAAATTAAATACAACCCAGTTGGACCGGTATGACAATTGACATAACTAAAATTTAAAGTCAATATTCGATTTGGTATTCAAAACATTGATGGCAAGGGAGAAATTAATATCATCCAGTATCTAATTAAATAGAATAAATAAACATTATTCATAACAACAAAATATATACAATCTTAAATTTATATAATATCATTTAAAATTTAAATAAAGTCAATTCATTATATATACTTAATTTTTAGATTTTGATAGTGATTATTTTCTACCAAGATTTTGAAGATAGAAAATATAAACTATAAATTAAAATATTACAGTAACTATTATGTAAGTTACTTATACCAAAAATAAAATGATGTTTCTGTTAAAAAACTAGAAAATTTATATTTTGTAAAAAAAATGTTTATTATTAGTATTATTTATGAAACTCTTATTTGCATTAACTACAATGTTTTCTCAATGGTTATATTTTTCTATTTAATCTAACATTATATTTTTCTCAATTTTAATTATAAGTTTAATTATACAATATATATTATATATAAACAATATATTTGAAAATTTTGTTTTAAAAACTAGCCGCCCGTAGGGCGGCCAAAAGATCTAGTAATTATGTAAAAACAATAAAACTCTTTCAAAGTTTGATTACTTGTGTAAGTGTCAATGATATCATTAGTGGTCTCGTGTTTTTTGTACATGTATTGGTTTATTTCGTAGATATCGTAGAAATTTATTGGTTATATTTACAAAATGATAAACGTATTAAGTTGAATACTAGAGGAATATGGTTTCATACATGTATGTGTGTGTGTGTAGCAACTAGCAAAAGCGTATAGGGCAAAAAAGAAAGCGTTGCCCTTTTAGGAGGTGGATGGGGCTTGGAAGATAGACGAAGACTCTTCCACTAAACGAAAGGTCATTATTCAGAGAGGATAACATTAAAATATCCCACAAAATAAAAATCAAAACATTGTCTAGTCTCATGCATTTTTCCTTTAATTTAATCTCTGCATTTTCTCTTATAAGATCAATTTTTAATTTATATTTTTGCTGACAAATACCATACACAAAAGTGTATATACATATATATAAGAACATTATGAAGAATAGACTAAATATTACTCATCAAAATAAAAATGTCTGCATTTTTTCTTATTTCTTCCATTTCAAATTATTTGTCAAATATACACATAAAATTAAAAATTACTTAAATATTCAAATTTACATTGTTTAACTTTTAGAAGTACATAATATTTAATACTTATTTTAGTTTAATTAGGGTAAAAAAAATAAAATAAAAGTAAAAATTGTATTTGAAACATAAAACAACATATTTTGCAACAAAAAAAATATGCTAGAACGACAACTAATCAGAAACGGAGGAAATATAAGATTAAAACTTATATATTACTACTAGTACCAATTTTTGAATACATAGAATTCTCTTCATTCATGTATAAAATTCCCTTCAAAAATTTATGAAGAATAGGCTAATAGCATAATAAAATTGCAGACCTCTTCTGCTTACAATGTTGCAAAATGAAACATTTCACCGCTAAACATTAACGTGCACAAGAATAATGCACATCTTCTCTATTAAAAGAGAAGTACCAAATTTATCTACTATTTAGAAGTTATGTTGGACTATTTCATTTTGTTACTTAACTAATCAAATATATATTATTTTAAAAATATTTTAATAATTAATAAATATATTAATGATAAATCAATTTAAATATAACAAAACTTGTTCAAGAAAATCTAACAATATCTTATCAAAAATTTAAAATATTTTTTATATAAAATAAGTATTTCTTTATTTGGTTATTAAATATAATTATAAATTAACTTTAATTAAAAATAAAATATAAATCATATATTTGAAAACTTTAGTTATAAAATTTAAAATAAAAAATATACCCGCACGGATGTGCGGGTCAAACTCTAGTCAATGATCTTACAATCTTACACCATTCTTCAATTCTATTTTACAAACAGAGTCCCTCGATGCAAAACCACATTCATAATGCCAAAGCAGATAATAAACCAAACCGGTCCGGTTTAAAGATTCACCCGGTTACTTTCAGCCTCACATACAACCCTAACAGTAATCAGAATGGGAATCATCATAGTAATCAACTGCAGAAGATGGCGACATAACTTCTTGCTCAAGCAACTGAACCACCTGATTCATAGCTGGCCTGTCCTCAGGGTTAGCAGCTGTGCACCTCGTAGCTATCTCAATCAATGCCTCAACAGAGTCTTCGTCCACGTCAACACATCTCTTGTCCATCACATCCTCTAATCTATCCTCTTTCAACAAAGTGTTCATCTGAAAAAACAGAATATTTTCATTAGAAACCTAAAAAAAGCTAAAACAGAGCAGTTCTTTGTTTTGTTCTTACCCATCCGACAACGTTTAACCCTCTTTTAACAAATGTCGTGTCTGTTGGTCTCTTTCCAGTAACGAGCTCAAGCAAAAGAACTCCAAAGCTGTATACATCAGACTTCTCCGTTGCTCTGCCGTTCTGTAGATACTCTGTTTCCAAAGATATACAACAAAGTTAGAAACTTTTGTCTAAGAATATCATCAAAGTAGATACTCTGTTTTCAAGATATATAACAAAGTTAGAAACTTTTTGTTTAAGAATTATCAAAGTAGATACTATGTTTTCAAGGTATATAACAAAGTTAGAAATTTTTGTCTAAGAATCATCAAAGTAGATACTCCAAGATATATAGCAAATGTAAGAATCATCAAAGTAGATACTCTGTTTTCAAGATATATAACAAAGTTAGAAGCTTTTTTTTCTAAGAATTATCAAAGTAGATACTATGTTTTCAAAGTATATAACAAAGTTAGAAACTTTTGTCTAAGAATCATCAAAGTAGATACTCCAAGATATATAGTAAATCTAAGAATCATCAAAGTAGATACTCTGTTTTCAAGATATATAACAAAGTTAGAAGCTTTTTTTTCTAAGAATTATCAAAGTAGATACTATGTTTTCAAAGTATATAACAAAGTTAGAAACTTTTGTCTAAGAATCATCAAAGTAGATACTCCAAGATATATAGTAAATCTAAGAATCATCAAAGTAGATACTCAGTTTTCAAGATATATAACAAAGTTAGAAGCTTTTTTTTCTAAGAATTATCAAAGTAGATACTATGTTTTCAAAGTATATAACAAAGTTAGAAACTTTTGTCTAAGAATCATCAAAGTAGATACTCCAAGATATATAGTAAATCTAAGAATCATCAAAGTAGATACTCTGTTTTCAAGATATATAACAAAGTTAGAAGCTTTTTTTTCTAAGAATTA